GTATATATACTCCACAATGTTGTTCACAGTGAATGTCTTGTGCAAAAAAAAAAAAAAAGCTACACAAAGCATATACGAGTTTTGGGCTGGGGGACATATTTGGAATTTTGGGAATATGTTGTAGGTGTGCTGAAAAAAATTGTCAGTTGAATATTTTTTGGGCACGGAGAGAAACAACCCCCACCCCCTCAGTCGCTCCCTGCGTGAGCCTTTCCATCCTACTCTTAGGAAGCAGGGACTTCAATCTTGTAGTGGCTGTGAAGTTCCCTAAACGATGGCCGAGCTACACTCTCAGACAATTTCTTATTGCAAAGGTAGCAATAAACAACAATCCTACCTTTCTATATAGTCCTACACTGAGAGCTTCAATGCCTTCTCTACTTTTTCCCACATGATGGTTGCAGGATTAATATCGCTACCCCAGTAAAATGAGTGGGCAACTTTTTTTCAGCCTGGGGCTGCCACCCTATTCATTCCCTGCCTGGAGGCCACATTTACTGTGATGTAATCAGAGGGGGCAGGTTGAAATTTGGGGGCCTATTTTTTAACTCTACCCAAATAATCTGATAGGAAAAAAATCAGCATCATGCTGATTGTATATTTTCTGTTTTTTTATTTCAAGCACCACTACAATCAGTTAAAAATTAAAAGTAGATAAAGTTCTATGTAAGCAAGTTTTTTGGAATACTGAACATACTGTGGTTTGCTTGGAAAGAGATGATTGTTATACCTATATTTGTTTCACTGAGAATTTAGGTGCTACAACCTTACCTGAGATTCTCACAGGAATTTCAGAAACAGAAAATGATTCCTTTGAAGTCTTAGAAGGCAACTTCTTCAAGAAGAAAGGAATAGTTACTCACTTTCATGTTTGTAATAACAATAAAAATACTGCACAAATGTATACAAGAAGAAGATCAGTACACAAAGTCAAAGATCTGAAAGGAGAATAATATCTAATGAAGATTTTCTTTTCACAGATCCAACTTGCAAAGTGATTTGTTTACGTAACACTACAGTTGGCACATACAAGGATGAGTACTTTCACTTCCTGCAAAGGGAAGGCTGCGTTTTCCCAGATGCTGCATTAAACATACTGAGGATTCCTCGGGATGAGGTCTGGCCTCAGTGGGCCCCCTCTGGAGAGCTGCTGCCCTGGCACTACATTTGCTGCAGCAAGACTGTAACCAGTGAAACTCTCCAGAGCCAGCCCAGGCCGTGCTCTGAGGGTCTTCCCCCGCAATAAGAGAAAGCAGGTGCCAGTAACAAAAAGACACAGCCCACAGCAAGCAGCACGTGGGGTAGTGGTGATGGGGGTGGTGTAGGACTTGCCACATGAAGCTTGATTTTCCTAGCCTGCGCATCTAGCATAGAAAGAAGCCCAGTGGGCTGGCAGCAGAGGGACGGATTGCTCCATTCCTCCACTGCCTGTCCACAGCATTTATGGCAGGAGGTCTTGTTGCCTGCATGTCCCATATGGGAACCAAAGGTGCAGGTGGGTGGGGAAGCATGATCCAGCTGTCCCTTCTTCAGTAGCCTCTGCTCCAATTTCCCCAGCAGCTATACATCTAGCTTTGAAGCTGAACAAGCTGACAGTGGAGGGAGGGAGGGTTGCTTTTACCAGTCTTGGCTGATACACTGAAAATGGAGCAAGTATGGTTTTCAGCTCATCCATTTGGTAAACCAGAGCTGGCTAACAGAAAAGGCCAAACTTCTTGATTCTGATGAAAGAGAAGGAGATAAAATGTCCTCCTATATACTTTTCCTCCCCCGCTCTTTAAAAATGTGATGGGCTACCAGCAGAAAAGCCACTTTGCTTCTCTTCTAGGCAGCAAGCTCACTTGTCTGGATGAAATTCCTAGCTGCCAATGGTGATCAGAAACTGGTTTAAAGCAATGCTGGTGCAGCTATTTTAAAAATGAACCTGCTCTTGTTTTTTAGTTCATTGCTAATTCCTTACGGAAGGACACTTTGCAGGTTCCCAGGGAGGTGACTGGGAACCAGTTTAAGTCCCTGGTACAGACATGTTCCGCAAATAATACATGAATTTCAAAACAGCAAGGGCAGAAATGCAAAACTTCTATGCACAGAAGTGGGTGAAGAAGAGAGAGCGTAACGCATAATTACATGCTAGCAGCAGCTACCTCTTTTGGTTCCGGTAGATAGTCTAAGGCAGGTGCTTCTATTACAGATTTTTCTTCACGTACTATTTTGCTTCTAGGACCAGGAAAAGGAGAGGGTTCAGAGTCGCCGGTCTCTGAAAACTCTGCTGTGATTTCTCCAGAACTAGATAGAGAAGTTTCAGACACGTGAGAAATTTTTTCTCTTGTAATCTTCTGTTCCAATTTCTCTTTGTCAGATGAAGATTCTGGTGACTGGGGCCCGCTAGATATGACAGTCAGTGCTGGGAGTTCAATTTGTTCAACAGAGGCAAGGATTTCACCTTTCGCTGGTTCTTCTGAGTCACTTTCAACGCGGGATGGTACCGGTGCAGGAATTTGTAAATACATATTAGATAAGTCAGGTGGAATACCTGAAAATTTCTGCAATAAATAATTTCTGTAATAAATCATCATGATAATCATCAGTGTTTAAATCTGGAAGAACTGCAATTTCTTTAATGAAATATATACATTGCTTGGCAAATGAATAGCCTTGCATGCATATTCTTTCATTTTATGACCAACCCGGTAATTTTATCTTTAGGAAGACAAAGCCCTGAAAATGCTCACAGTAACTCAGAGCTCATCTACCTATCAAATACATTTACATGGTAAAATTCTTTAGGAGATTTTACGTTCACCTCCTTGCATGCAGAAAAGCATAACACCAGGGAGTGGGATACAGTAGAAACTTCCTCTTGAACTTAATTTTCTAAATGCAAAAATAAATTAACATTGAGGAAATTAATAGTGAAATCTCCTATTTCCCTTTGAGGTGGGAAGCTTTTTGGGAATTTATCTCTGCTGTTGCATAGGCTTGTTTCGCGTCAAATGAGGCCCAAGTTATAAAATATTGCACATTTGTGCAATCGGTGTCTTTAAAAAAAGCCACCACTAGGGCAACAATAAAAACTTCCGTTGATTCCAATGGAGAGAGATTGTAGTTTAATTTCTGTTTTAGAGGGGTCAGAAGAGTTAACCTGCTTCGCTACTCACTAAAAGCTTGTCTACACTGCTGGGTTAATGTGCTTTCTTTCCATGGGAGAAAAATATATCAATAGAAAGCCCACTTTCCTCCCAGCCTATCTTTTACCAGGTCTCAGCAGTGAGGCTGATTCTGCAGTTGAGCTGCCTCAACCTTATAGAAAGTAATGTGGGTGACTTTAAGGGCAGCAACTGTTTTTTCTTTTCCAAACCTGGGTTGGAAAAATGTAGTTTCGTGTGTGTGGTGGTTTCCCTTATTAGCCAACTCTGAACTGGGAGGCTCTGATTATTATTATGGTTGGTCACACAGTTAGCCAGATATTTAGACTGGATTTGGCATTTTTATCCACCTATTGAGTCCTTCCCAAGGACCTGGGATAGGCAGATGTTGTTGTCTGATGATGTTAAAGATATCATTGTAGGATATAAGCTGTTTCAAGTAAAGCTGCCTATTATTATCATCATCATCATCACTGCTGCTGCTGCTGCTGCAGTCTCTGGGGGTCTCATTTTACCATGATTTAGCTACGAACCTCATACCTGAATATCAGATATTTGTTTTTCTTCCTTCACTGCTGCTTCTACAGAGACAGGGGGAAAAAAGGATGTTATATGTTGATACATGGAAAAACAAGACACAAAACTCACAACACTATATAATTTTATTTCTGATTTTGCTGGTACATAAGTTTAAATCACCATTCCTGCTGACTGCATTGTGGAATTTTTACAGAAAAACTCATTTGATAATTTGCACTGCGATTGTGAATCAGTACATTGAAGATTGGAGGCGTACTCTTTAAAATATTAAACATTCCATGGTATCATCTTAAAAGATAAAAACAGTAAATAAATGAATTTGTAATGAACTTTATAGTATTCTAGACACTCCATTTTAACATTTGAGTGGAATAACAGGCATAGCACTTTTACAGGCAATGAAGTAAAATGCAGCTCCAAAAACTCAATCGAGTGGCAGGAATGTGGCATCCACTGGTACACCTATCCGATGCATCCTAAAATGGCACTTGCAGACCCCAGCATTAAATTTAAAAAAATGACTAGAGATGTTGTAATCTTGTGAATTCATAAAAAATGTTCAAAATGCCTGGAATCTGAAAACTGTATCCATCACTTGTGAAACTGTAGTCTGATTTTACAATAGGGACACTTGCAGAAAGGGCCCTTTAAATCCTATGGCCAAGGCTGGAAGGCAAAGAGGGAAAGGGCAAAGAGGGAGGGAGGGAGGGAGGAAGGAAGGAAGGAAGGAAGGAAGGAAGGAAGGACCTTCTCCACAACTTGCCAGGTAGGAAAGAGAAAAGAATAAAGCAAAAGAATGAAAATAGAGAAATGAGTTAAAATAAGATGCACTATGCAGAAACAAACAGGGAATTCAGCATGTTGCACGTGGTCATGGGTGTGATGCATGGAGAATGTATCCCGCCAACCATCCTTTAGGTTCTCAAGGGGTCTACATGGGGCTGTACCCAGGGGCACAGCCCACCTGTGTGAACAGAGACCCCAATGAAGAACTAAATATATCCTCTATAGCAATGTCAGAGCTGCCAGTTGAAAAGCCTGTTTTTGTTAAAGGATTACTATGTTTTTATAGAGACCTGTGCCTAATTTATCTATTTTCAAAGACTGGAATTACGTATCACACACATATTAGAACAAAACCCCATAGTTCTAAGGGCAAAGCAACATTGGATGGAGGCACTTTGGAGCAATTCCTCTGTGTTTCTGAAAAGGTTGTTTGTCTTGGCTTCTTCAGCTTTCCTTCTAGGAAATAGGAATATTATTGCATTACGTCCAGTGAAATACTGGGTTTGGCACTTGAGGATAAGACACAATCGCTGTGTTGTACTTAGATTGCTAACAAGGAATGTGTTATGTTAGGCCTGCATGACAAACACTTTGCAATGGTGCCTAAGACAATTGTTCCAACTTCAGTGTATGTCCGTGGATCCAAAAAGTTTGGTATAATGTCCTTTCTTTTCATAAATTCTTTAAAACAAGCACCACCTTTCTTAAAATTAGCTAATCTCCTGTCAATTAACTGTACAGTTTAAATTGCAAACTTCCGAACTGACCAATCTTAGAAACAAAACAGACTGCCATTTAACATAGACCAATTTTTCTTCTTGTTTTCATTCAAGTTAATATTTGACTTTACAGGTAGTCCTCGACTTAAGACCATTCGTTCAGCAACTGTTCAAAGCTACAACGGTGCCGAATGAAGGGACTTATGACCTGTGCCCAAAGTTACAGCTGTTGCAGCGCCCCCACAGTTATGTGATCAAAATTCAGGCATTGGCAGCCCACTCATACTTACATTGGAGGGGCTCTTCAAGCTCTCCCACACCCTTATCTCTCTCATTTATGCCCTTTTGCCCCCATGCTGCCCTGTGCTCTGCCACCCCAGCTGATCTTTGCTGTCTTCTTCTGTCCGCTGCTGACGAGGTCTGCCTGCCCTGGCTGTTGGGTCAGGCTGGGGGTGGGTTTCATGCTGTGAAAAAATTAAAAAAGCCAGAAGCAGATTCTTTGCACAGAGCTCCTGGGTGGAGCTGGGCTTCACATTCCAAAAAGAATCAAAAAGCACCCAAAGCAGCAAAGGTAAAGGGGCTTTTTGGCATGCTGCGGCTTAGGGGCTGCTTTTGGCTTTTTTTTTCCGCAGCACAATGCCCAGTCCCAGCCTGACTGAGCAGTCAGGCTGGGCACGCCTTGTCAGCAGTGGGAGCAAGAAGACAGCGAAGGTCAGCTGGGGCAGTGAAGCGTAGGGGGGCAAGGGTCTCGGAGTGCAGGGTGATGAGAGCGACTGTGGCTGGGACTGGGCTGGGGCAGCTGCAGCTTCCTGGGGTGTGGCAAGCAGCCCCACAGCCGCGCAGTTCTGGGGCTGCTTGCCACCCCGCAAGGCAGGGTGCAGAGCAGCCAGAAGGGCAGAGATGGGGGGGGAGATAGGTGGGGGGAGTTGGAAGCAGTCCCTTATCTTACTGAGGCTCAGGGTTGAGAGGGACCAAGCTCAGAATGGTTTGGATTGGGGTGGATATTCGCTTAACGACCCATGATTCTCAGTTAATGATGGCAACACGGAGTGCCGGGATTGTGGTTGCTAAGCGATGCACAAGTGACATCTCACTTTATGACTGTATTGTTTAGCGATGGAAATTCCAGTCCCAATTGTGCTTGTAAGTCAAGGACTACCTGTAGTACTGCAAAGGCTAGTGTATGCTGCTATACTATAAATGTGGATTCTAACTTCTACTCAAGAAATTAATAAAAAAATAAAATTATTCACTAAACCTGAAGAAGCATAAAATGTAGATTCTTGAGAAACAGGGATATGAATCTTCTCAACAAGTTCTCTGAAGCGAGACATCTTGGGAGGAAAAAGCAGTTAAAAATTAATTTTGATGTATAATATTTGCAAGAATATATAATCACTTCTGTTACTGATAATTTGTATTGGAACTGCATAATGGTTAGATAAAATATCATCTCATACTATTTCATGTCTGATAGCTAGGAAAATATAACTCAGAAGGACGGAAAGCGTTGCTACATGTATGCAGAAGGAGGGTGGAGACTTACTAATTTCTCAATCTTTACTTTTACTTCCACAAATATAAAGTTGATTAAATTCATTTTAATTATATTTAAATAATTCATAATTATATTCTGCTAGCTAGCAATTTGTGTACTAGCCAATGGATTTTATGTTACACAATTGAAGCAAAAGAGAAAAAAGAAAATGATTTGTTATACAACAGGCATAGTGCAGTTGTCACATTACCAATCCCTGGACTGGTAAGTGACAAGTCTAAAAATCATAGGCAGTTATGCAGCTGGAAAACAATGACAAATATAAAGAAGGTCTTTCTTAGTGGTGGTGATCATACCTTCTATGATAGTGCTTTGCAATTTAGAAACATATTTGTTTAAACCGACTTTTCTGAATAGATAATCAGCACGTATATTCCATTTTCAAATAATCTCAAGCTTGGTTTATTTCCTTATATCCAACTTTATAAATTTATTTGCACATTTGTAAATCTTTGTTCAAGATCATTGTGTTGGTCATTTGTACTTTATGGGGTGCCAAATGTCCTAGGAAAGCAGTATAGTCCTTGTTTAACGTCCACTCGTTCAGTGACTGTTCGAAGATCCCATTGTCATGTGATCGCGATTTGGGCACTCAGCAACTGGCTCACAATGACATGACAGCATCCCACAGTCATGTGATCACCATGTACAACCTACACCGCCAGCTTCCGACAAGCAAAGTCAATGGAGAAGCCGGCAGGAGGTCGCAAATGGTGATCGTGTGACCGCAGGATGCTGAAATCGTATGGGATTTGCCTAACAATGGCAACTGGGACTGTTGCCCTTAAGTCGATATGGTCACATGACATCGCGTCTTATGACTGCATTGCTTAGCAACAGAGTTCCCGGTCCCAATTACCGTCAGTGAGGACTACCTGTATATTTAATAGTTAAATAATCTATAAAAATAATCTCTCTAATACTGAAAAAAGATCAACCATCTCTATATAGCTTTAGCCTGTAGAACACATTACAATACTGTAAACAAATCATGGCTGGGTTGAATGGGACAGGGATCATAGAGTGACTGCCAGATGAAAGCTTACTGGATACAATAAAGTGACAGCCACCTGATTTTTAACACTTCATTCTCTGCATTTAACCCATGTTTTATGAGGATGGATTCATAGCTAGGAGTACTAACTCTTGACTGCCACCCTATTTTTGATTTCTACTATTATAATCTGTTACATCTCCGCTGAGGAATTTTCATTGAAAGACAAGCCCAGGTGTCTAGACTCTAATATCCTGAAACAAAAACTAAGTCCAAGAAGCCTTGAATATGAGATTGGGAATCCTGGACCTTGGGAAGACGCTGAGCGGGATCTTCATGAGGCCAAGGGTCCTAGTCTGATTCAGGACAAGGACAAGGCTAAAGCACCACCCACCCCAAGGTGATTAAGGCTCAATATCAACATGTGCAAGATATAAACAGATTCCCTTGCCAGTTAGTAGCTTACTCAGAAGTAGATTCTACTTAATGCAAGGACTTCTGAATGTCCTGCATTATTTTCAGCTTCTATCTGACTGGATCTAGGAGCTCTAACTTAAAAACCCTCAATTTCCAACAGATTCTGACCACTGTAGGGGCTAGACCATTGGGTACTACTCCTTGAATTTAAGTATGTTTAATCCTCTATGGCCATCCCTAGAAACAAAATTCTTTTTTTCTTCATCTTAGGGCCAGCATTGCTCCTGTGTTTCTAAGCATATTCTTTGGGAAACTGCCAACCATGCAACATTCCTACATCACATTTCGCAGTACAGCCCAGGGGGAAGACTGAAATGCATCTAGGAATCACATACAATGAGGACAACCTGGGGGAAATGTGTGATGGCATCGAAGGACACTGGGGATGATTTGAAAAACAAATGGATAATGGTGCATGACAAATACAGAAGGAAAGTTAAAGTGTAGCGAACTTTAGCAGGAGAAACAGAAATAGAAATAGGGAATAAGTAGGAGAGGGAGGGCTTTTCAGATGGGAAAAAACATCTCAGGAAACAGAAAAGAAAATAATGACAGGCAAACAGATTCCTGGGAAAGGCTAAATGATCGAAGACAGACAAAGGAGAAAGACCAACACTTAGAATATGCAAAACTCTAATGAGAACAAGGAGTTGTAGTATGTTCATGTACAAATGTCTCCTGGGGATTTCAGGACACTGGGACCACTTTTGGTAGTACTTGCAAGCAATTAAAAATCTTTGTGTGGAAGCCTAAAATAATACAGTGTAAGGGTTTTCTTCCCCCTGAATATTTGTAACACAAACTTATTTTTTTTGTTTCTTGTCCATCGTTCTTATTTTTAATTACATTTTAAAGGGGAATTTGGTTTACACAGCTACAATGATTTTATTCCACAGGGTATTTGAAAGAGAAAGAGTAAAAAAGTCTTGGATTCTGAGAAGACAAACAATGGAAGGAAAAGGGGTAACTGATCCTGCCTGTTTAGTTTTTGGCTGCCTGTTTTTGCTTTTTATAAATAACAGAGAAGAAAGAAGAATTACAGGTAATTCACAAGTACTTCGGCCTCTAATTAATTGCACACTATTCGCCTGATTTGTAATATAAAATTACCTTTGGTTGAGGTTTTGATTTTGGTCCTCTTTTTAGAATCAGCTGGTCCAAATACTCAGCCTTTTCACGCCATGTTCTTAAGGTCCGATATTCTTTTTTCATTTTCTCCAGTCTAAGGAGCAACATACATGCATATATATATAGACACAGGATTGAAATATTCAGATGTCCAAATTTTTTGCTATCAGATAGCAAAGCAGAGAAGGACAAGATTGCATTCTGATTCAGTCGAGGATAATATTAACTGCAATATCAGGAATCAATCCCAAATCCCATCAGTCCAATCTGAAATCAATATTAGCTAAATCAGTTCTTTTGAAGTGAGGAGAATTAATAACCGCCCAAGTGCACCACATTGGGAATCTTCAAGTTAGAGCTTAACACCTCTAGTTGGCATTGGATATGTGTGCATTTTTAAAAAATCTAGTTCCTCTATACTTTTTCTGTTCATTTACTGATTTGCTTAAATTATATTTAACATTTAATTTTATAAGCGGTCCTCGTGGCATTTATATGCTGAACAATCAGATAAAAATACCTAAAAACCCCATATATGTATAGAGATATAACTTAATTGTGAGAATTCTACTGGTATTATACTGAGGCAGCAATCTCTAAGGCTTGAGAAGGGGCCTAACTCTTCAGTTATACTAGGTTATGTGTGTTAATACTGGGTGCCTTTTGGAAGCCATATAAAATTAAATGTTAAATATAATTTAAGCAAATCAGTAAATGAACAGAAAAAAATACCTAAAAACCCCATATATGTATAGAGATATAACTTAATTGTGAGAATTCTACTGGTATTATACTGAGGCAGCAATCTCTAAGGCTTGAGAAGGGGCCTAACTCTTCAGTTATACTAGGTTATGTGTGTTAATACTGGGTGCCTTTTGGAAGCCAGTCTACATCTGCAGGTCCTCTCCTGCTTCCTAGAATTGGATCATGAGTTGATTGCAGTGAAAGAAGGAATTTTGTTGTACATTAGGACAATACCTATCTAGTCTAAAATGAAGTAGATAGGACAGTTCATAGCACATTTTAATTTGCATGTGATTGGCATAAGGTTGTCTTTTTTCTTTTTTGTATATAAATGAGATCAAGAAACATCAAATAGCTATGGTTGCTAGAATATCCTTGTGATGCCTAAAGAGAAGTTCAGACCAGAGACTTGAGAATGAATGGTGTTGAAAATAATACAGTCTAACATTACTTGGCATACTTTAATATTAGAGAACAAGTTAAAACTTTGGAAAGATTCTGTATTCCCATATTGTGCTAGGTTTGCTGAGGGCTGATTTTTTTTTTTTTTAACCAAATAATACTTGGAATTCAAACTTACCAAGCAGGATCTACCCCGGAGTCCCTTCTGCAGGCACTTCATCATCTGCACCTAACCATGGTACCAGATGTCCTGGCAACAGCTGTTTCCTTGCCATATTCCCGTGTCATTACTTTTATCTCATTGCCAGCTCATAAAAGATAGGCTTACGTCATCCTAAGCTATACCAGTATTGAAGTAGCATTTTCTCCCTGACTGCAACTCTAAGGGCAGCCTCAAAGTGTTAGGCTTTGCCACCCATTAATTACCCTGGAGAGAAGGTGGGCAATTGCAGTGTCTTGATACAGAAGCAGGCTAGGGAGCAACAATGGGACAGGAAGCCTCATGCCAGTAGAGTTTTCTGCTGATTCAAGGATGGATGGAGAGAAAAATGTCAGACAGATGGGATGTCTTTTATTTTGAGAAGAAAAAGATGGATACCTTGATTAGATTTTGACATATAAAGATTTTCAAAGCACAAGGCTAGTTCCACAGAAAAAAAGTAGGACACTTGCAGATTCAATCTATTTCCTCAGTCAATTGGACTTTTTTTTTTTTATAAAAGTAGAAAAGTGGACTATATCCAGTGCATGATGGAATTTAGAGAGCAGAAAGAGGAGCTAACAAATAGAAATGTTTTTTCATCTGTTTCCTTACCTTGCTCGGGGTGGCTCTTTCAAAGCTCTCTGAAGGGTTTTGTAGTGCTCTGAACTTTCTCTAGGAGTCTCCAACTCAGGGCTCCCGCCTGTGACCTTTAGATCCGGTGATAAGAAAGCAGGGTAATCCATGTGCCGCGGTTTGATGACATTGCTGCAAGATAAACAAACAAAAACAGTGCCTTCAAAGTTTGCTACTAGTAGAAGTAATCACAAAAGAGCCCCTTCCTTTCCCTTCTCTATCGATATCTTTTTTTTTTCCTCAAGGAAAAGTACTTTATATACCTTCAATGAAGAGATATTTTCAGAAATAAATAATAAGGTTCAAAATGAAATTAATTTAAGCACAAGGATTCACTGATACATAAAACACATCGTTTCACTTTTTAAAAAATCAACCAATGAACCAACATATGTGTTCCTGCTTTCTCAGCTAAAGTTAAATACTTTACAAAGATTACATTTAAATGTACAGAGAATTACATTTGTGTGTTCAGAGAAACTAGAGACATAAGTTATGGTGAGTTTTGCAGCTCTAAATATCTTGATATTCTAGCTATAGGCCAAAGTTTATAAGAGCTTGCCTAAAAACTCAGCAACGTTTAGACATTCCAGATGGGTGGTGTTATATTGTACGTCAGTCAGATCATAAAGGCCTCTCACATACAGTATTTGTAAAAACAAGGCCTTTACTCTCAAAAAAATGTGAAGTTTAGTCGTCCCAACACTGAAATTTGCCTTCCCTCTGCTCATTTCCAGATGAGTTTTCATTGGAAGTACGTGGAATTCTGTTGTGAAATTTGACATCTCAAACTAGCCATGTGATGCATTCTCCCTGCTTTTTACTTCTTTACAAAGTGAATCTGCCCAAGAACACAGACAGCATTTCCCCTTGAGCATCAATATGTCAATATGGAGGTTGGAGTTCACACCAGAATCCTAGCTCAGCCATCAGTAATCTGGTATCTTCTAGATATGTGAAACCCTAACCCTAACCTACTATTCCAGAATTCTCTAGCCATTGTGACCATAAAATCATAGTCTCATAATTTTGAACCTATCTAGCCTGACTAAGAAGTTTCCTAAAATAGTTTTGCATACACTCAGAACTGATACGTGGGACTGCACAGAAACCACAAAGAACCATTAATGAAAGAGAAGAGCGTAAGCTGGAAATACAAACAAGTAAATTCACCTTGAAGAACAGAAAACTTACTCTTTTGATTTAATCTAATTTAGGAGATCCAATGTCCATGCAGGCTACCATTAAATTGGATATTTAAGAAATAAATCAGACGTTCATGTAGATATGTCCAAACAGAATTCAAGGGTATCCTCTATCCATAGTGCATTCTTTGAACAGTAACAACTTATCTACATTTAAATAAATGTTTGTGGTCTTCTGTAACTGGCTGGATATTTACAACTTATTTACATGGAATCAGAGCTGGACTGGTATTTTTGTAGGATAGGTAATAACTAATAGTTGAAGCACTTGATTTGTTAAATATGAGAGGCCATATGAGAATAGTGCCTCATGTGAATGCTACATTCTAAAATCATTATTTTCTGGGAAGATATAATTACATATATTAATCTGATTCTGAGACAAGTTTTAATATCTTGAGACACCCACATTCTTTTGAATTATAAAGCCACTACATGGAAATTGAAGTCTGGACAGTAGAAATGGATTCTTTGCACCTGTCTTATCACTAAGAAGTCTGTTCTTCAATCAATGGCATTTGCAGGGTACAAGGAGGGTCAAACTGACAAAAGCAGCCTCATGGCCTCATAACTCAAGCTCTGGCCTTTTTCTACATTCATCCACCTAAAATGGGCAGAGCTTGGAGTGCAATGCTGATTTCATCATTCTGACGAATGCAGCAAGATCACACAAATTCTGCTGTCTTAAATATTGGAAAGATAAATTTATGGCCCCAGTTACTCAACAGACTGAAGATTTGATGTTATTTGCAGCTTGCTTACAGACATAGATATATATGAACAATTATAATGAAATATTGTCCTCCTTTCTTGAATTTTGTGTAAAATTCTTTGCACTTATATACACATGAGATGCCTTACATGGATGTACCTATATGTGTGTGGGTTATCTGTCTCTTTCTTTTCTTTTTTCTTTATTTCATTTAATTAAATCAATAATAGCAAAAGACAGAGAGAGAGATGGCAAACATCCATATTAAACAGAAAATACAGTTCTGAATTTCCATCATGCATTGCTGACTATTTAATAACTTAAATAAAAACAGATTTTAGGGAAGAATTTATACTGCCAAAAATTAGGTCTATATTTCTCAAATTTGGGGAAATGTTTGTTTACGTGTGTCCTAACATATAACTGAAGTTTATATTAGACAATTTTTGATGCATATCACTAGTTATGCATCTACAAAAACATTACAATTTCCCCCAAAGTATGGATTTATATATCTACAGTCCAATTGGGAGAAAAGCCTTTTTGTAAAGTAGGTAAACAAGTTTTGTAGTATCTTAGTAAAAGCAAGAACCTAGGTGCTTAAATCATGGGTTCTCAAACTATGAGTTGACATCTCCTAGGAGACTGTGAGCAACTGGGGATGAGGGGCTTACAAAAAATTTAATAGTTTTGAATGAAATTAAAATGGACAAAATTCTAACCTGCGGAATATAACCTACTGATCATGTGAAAAACTATTATCAGATCATGGTGATGCACTAACACTAAGAGCTGGTTTCACCTTCCCTCAGAAATATTCATGGATCTCCAGCATCTCTGCTGACATGGTGTGTAGCAGCCTAACTGAGGACTTT